ACCCTCAACACCAAACAGGTACTCAGGCTTGTAACGCGGCATCTAAAGACAAGTGAAAGGAGGGAGTTAAGACCTTTATCCAATTAATAGCACAAGTTTTTGGATTAATTTGAATAAAGTTAGGAAATCAGAGTAAAAAGGTAAGTAAATAAAGTAAACCAAGCTTTGCGAGATAAGTTAAAATAGTTGGAAACGAGGTCACAAATTTTGTAATTTTGAATAACTGGTTTCAAAAGAAATGAAAGAAAATTATAAAATCAACATGCTAAATTTATTTTATTGCAGCAAGATTAAATAAAACAGTATTGTAAAACTTTTGCTGGTAAATGAGCCATTAGTACAGTAATAGATGTACAGTACTAATAACACTGGAATAAATTTTTAATGAGAACCATTAAAAGAGATTATGAAGTGCATGTGCCATTAGTTTGGTTTAATTAAAAGAGAAAGGGAGGAGAACAGTTCTACTTTTCCAATATTTTTACAGGGCTTCTATGGATAACCATTTGGCATAACCTAGGGTCAAAGAGGCTCTGATACCAACTTGTCACGCCCGGAATTTCTATCCAAAATTCCAAACGCTTACATGTGTGTGAACCCTCATCCAGGAATCAGCCGAGGCACACAATAACAAATTGATAATAGAGTACAAATATTACTCTAATTAATAAGCGAATAAAATGTCATTACAGAGGTAGATAGTTCCTCTCAATCAATAAAGATCTAAGCAGCGGAAAATAAATAAACGGCGCAGACGGCTCCACTCCACAGGCAGCTTGACCAAGGCTACACCTAATCCTCCACACCATCAGCCTCATTGTAGAACTCTTCCTCTGATGAATGATTGCAAGGTGAGTATATGACATACTCAGCAAGCCACGCAGCAAATATGCAAGTGCACAGGATAACAAAGGATGGCATAATAGGGTTGCATTTGCAAAAGCAGCATTTAGCAGACATTTGAGAATTTGATAAAACAGTTAAGTAATTAAACAATATTAATCCAACGCTATACAACATACCCTGTTGTATAGGCCCAACCATTCTGAACAACCACCCCGGCTGCAAAGTTCTATCTCCAAACCAGGAATGTACCATTCCAAACCAGGAGCTAATCAAATTATTACCAGTTGTAGCATCTTTTACAATGATGAGAGGTGTGAGACTAATCACGAAAGACATTGTTAGACCCGCCCATAACCGCGGGCACGGCTATTCGAATAGTTTTACTCTGATCAGAGGTGTACCACTGTACCCACAAGACACAACCCCACATCATGTCACCATCTGCCTCAATACCACCACGGTATCTCGGAAAGGAGTTGTGACAATACCCCTCGCATAACACAATCCACTGCAGCGCACCTTCCTGGATCATAATCACCCCCTTATAAACAAGGCATGGACTCCCCAGCGACCCCCGTGGGCTTATCTCCGCCACTTCTCAGTCTGGTGCCCCGCAATGAACCATGCTATACAAAAGATAAAGCCGTTGCCCATGCTGGCTTGTGGTTGGCACGGTTAATGTTTCACAACCGAAACTCGTGAACCGGTCCTTAATTGTCATGAGCACGACCAACAAAACCATGTGCTCACAACCCACCATTACCAGGTTTTAGTTGGCACATTAATTAATTAACTAATCACGATTGACCATCGTGAACTATCATGAAACCATCATTAAATAATAGTGAGTCATTAGTTATCCCGAATGTGTACTAATGTTTCTAAGCAGGGCTAAGCAATTATATCTAATATCTAGTTGAACCAATATAAATAAAGCTCAACTAGTCAAACTGTAATAACCCAAGGTATCAAGGAATAAGGTAATCAAGTACGAAAGGGCCATAACAAAGAATAGGTCAATTCCACCCAATGACATTCAAAAATAGATGCAATAGTTGAATAGAAACAATAGCTTTAAATAGGATCAACATGCTCAAAGGGTTGTTTGGGATCTGTGTGACTTGCCTTGCTGGCCTTGGAACTCTTCAAACTCTTTTTCTGCGAAAACGGACTCTCCGGAAACGACGGAATCTAAGCAGAAAAGAGCAAAATCACCAAAACAACACATAAACAAGCATGAACAGTACATGTGGATATTTTTAAAGTGTAAATCTCAATTTTAGAAAAAATTAGAGACTTGAACCAACTAAATCGGAGCTAAGATGAATTAGTTATGAATTTTTAAAGATTAAATCGGATTAAAACACTTATATCGGTTAAAATTGAATTATGACGCAATAATGAATTATTTTTGAAAAGGAAAAGAAGGATTATTGCGTCAGCGGGCTAGGGTTTGGTGGACCGGGCGCACGGGCGGCGGTTCACACGAACGGACGGCCGAGATCGAACCAATCCAAAACGGACGGCCGAGATCGAACGGTCCACGACCGGCTCACGGCGGACGACCCCGATGACGTCAGCGGTGACGTCACCGACAGCGGCGGCGGCTCGGCGGAGCGGACGGCTCGGGCGGCGCACGCTTGCCGGCGAACGGCGGCACCAGGACGCAAACGGAGGGCACCAGCACGTAGAGGACGACGCGGCGAACACACCGGTGACCAAAACGGCGGCGGAAGAACAACGGACGACGACGACGACGAGGAGGAAACGGCGGAAACCTTCGGGTTGTCGACGGCGACGAAGCTCCGGCGATCTCTGGCAACGGCGAAGGGGCGGACGAGAACGGCGACGCGACGGCGACCACGACGACGGTCTTCCCGAGCGACGGTGACGGCTGAAGCGACGACGGCGCACGGCTGGAGCGGCGGCGGCGACGACAAAGCTAGGGCACACGGCGCTAGAGCTCTTCCGGCGACGAGAGGCGAAGGCGAGGGTGGCGGCGGGTAGTGGAGACACCGAGGGTCCTTTTAAAGGGGCTCGGAGGCGGCGGCAAAGGCCCACGACGGCGGCAACGGCGAAGGAAACTCGCGGCTTGAAGGAAAGAGGTCGATCCGAATCGAACTCGATTCCATGAACTTCCAAACCGATTAAGCCGAAGATTCCAAAGGAGAAAAGGTAGAGGAGATCCCGGAGATTGTTTCCCCTCTTTTGATTCGACCGGAGAAGGAAAGGAACGGCCGGATTTAGAAGGAAACGGCGGCGGCGCGAAACTAGGGTTTCGGCGGCGGCGGCCGAAGGAGGACGAAGGTTCTGACAGGCGGGACCCACCTGTCAGCGACAGCGAGAGGGCGCGCGCGCGGCGGACTGGGCCGAACTGGGCCGAGGAGAGAGAGAGGGGTTTTGGGCCGACTTTCGGCCCAAAGCCAAAAGAGACTTTTTAAAACCTTTTTCAATTTAAATTATTTCTTAAATGCAATTCCATTTATTAAAAATACTTCCTTAGCTCAAATAAATCCCAGAAAAATCTAGGAATTATAGAATTAAGCAAAGTATTTAATGAAATTTTATCTGGGCCCCTTTTATATTGGAATTTATTAATTAAAACTAGATCTTCTCTTCAAGACTTTTAAAATTATTTCTAAAAATTCCATTTAAACAACAATTTATAAATTTTAAAATTTTCAGGGTGTGACACCATGGTTGGATGCATCTTTGCTGTTGGGGACATTTTTGGCATGTTGCTTTGAGTCCTAGTGTCTAAGTTGGATGGTTGCTTTTGCCACATTGTTTTTGGTTGCTGAAAGCTTTCCTTGGATGTTGAGGCGCTCTGTTGCTTTTGTGAACATGTGGAATGTTTGTGTGGCCCAAAGGCATGTTTTTATCTATGTTGGTTATTTGTTATCCTAGTTAAGTGTTTGATACTATCTTGAAGTTGTGGTAAATCGACGTAGTCGATGGCTTCATAGTAGTGTTTCTTGTGATTGCTTGGCTAGTCATCCTCTCGAGCATGTCATCAAGTTTTAAAAATAGTATTTTCTGGATCTAGCTCTCCATTGTGTTTGTTGTTTATGCGGACCTCAAGTTGTGGCCCATGGTGTCTTGTTTGTTTGTGTGATTGTTTGTGTATTGGTTGTCGAGCCTATTGGTTTAGTTCTTTGAGTGAATTCTATGCTAGAAAAGCGTCACGATTATTCTACCTTGGTGGCTAGTGGTGTTTCTCATACGAATGCTCACCTTTGAGTAAAATGTTAACTTGTGATGTTGCAATATTTTGTGTGTTTGAACATGTTTTGCCTTAAGTTTTCTTGCAGCAGCTAAACGAAATATTTTGGTGTACTTTCGGTGTCGCAATAGGTGTTTATTCTAGCAGTGCATGCATGCATGAGTGTGCAAAGGGATAATGCCCCATATTTGGCTATGTCTTATTTTAGAAGAGCCATATTGATTTTTCAGGTCTTTGCCTCTTTTGGGAAGTGGGAAGGAGGTTGGATGGCCTGGCTATGTTCTTTTGGGAGTAAGAAAAATGGTTTTAGTAAGGGACCCGACAAGTTCAATTGTAATAAAAAGTGGAGTGTTTTTGTGGTGCTTTCATGGTTATGGGTGTGGGTATGAGAAAAGTTTGACCTTCTTGAATTAGTTGTTGAAGTGAGTGGGAGTTAGAACTTCGTACAACCTTATTGAAGTTTTGGAGAACTAGAGTTTGGGACCGAGCGTCAACCAAAAGCGACAAAGCAGAACCTCGAAGTTGAGTGTGCCTAAAGCATAGCTTGGGATTCTAATTGTGTCTCTTTCTAGAGTATTTCTGTAATGTTTTTCTTTATATGGGAATCATCGGCGTAAGTAGCAAGTGTTTTTTCCCCGGATGGTATTTTTTCCCCTTTTGTCAACTAGAGGTAAGTGTGTGTGATGCTTTAGGTGTCTATCTCTTTGGACTATTTTGTTTTGAAGGTAGAATTCGGGGACGAATTCCTTAAACAAGGGGAGAATGTAATGCCCTAGAAAAAATAGAATACCGTAGAGGATATATTGGAAGTCCATAAGGTTTTGGTGTTTGAAATTAGAAGAAAAACAATAGTTATTCGCTAGTTGGGCTGGCTTTCAGCCAGCCCAAAGGCCCAGCTGCCACCTCCACACCCCAAAACCCTAGGAGGTCCCCCCCCCTCCCCCTAGCCGTCATTTGGTACCCTGGGGCGCCCACCTCCCCCTCTGGTCGACCTCCCCCATGCCTGCCCTGCTGCAGACCTGGGAAGAAGAAGGGAAGGAGAAGAAAGGGAAAGAAGGAAGCGGAGGAAATCGAGGTGAAGATGGAAATGTGGGGTTTGATTACCCGCCGCCCATGGAGGCCTAGGTATCAATGCATGATCTTTTCCCCCTGTTTTGGTTTTCTATTAGGGTTTAGATCAAGTGTTGGAAGCGAGTAAGTTTGGGGATCCACCGATTTATTCCTCAACCGGGTTTGTTTTGCTGATCTGCCACCCTGCACAGTTCTGCCTTGGCTGCCTTTTCGGCCAACATAATGGGATTTCCTACGAAAAGTCTCTATACAAAAGTTGTAGATAACGTGTAGGTCTATGTTCTGACCAAATGGCATGAGTTTATTTCAAGTGGTTTAGGAGGTATCAATTTCTGAAGTTGGCTGTCTGAATATCGATGCATTTTTCTGTAGTCGAGGTTCATAGGGTTTTTAGAGGATCTTAATGATGGAATCAGAGAATCTTGTATTTACAAAAGTTGTAGCATATGTTGTGATCTACCTCTTATATAAAAATTGTTAGCTTTTATCTTGTTGTTTATTGTCAGAGCTCTTTTGAATGGTTATTGCACAGTTTTCTGGGCAGATGCAGTTCTCTGTTTTGTGCCGTGTTTTAGGCCAGATAAATGGAAGAATTCAATTTTGTTATCTAAATGAAATTTGTAACTCTTGTTCTGTAGATGTAAAAAATGATATATTTTGCTGTGTTATGTGATGTAGAATTGGAGATATCAATTGTTAATCTATGCTGCTTTTATAGGAAGATTATCGGTAATTTGCTTTATGTTGTATGGGGTGGGTTCCCAGCGTAGAAAGTGAATGTGTGATTCTTGAATGATTATATGTGTTGTTTGAGGCTAAGTCGGTGTTTATTCAAGTGATGCCACTTCGGAATGCAACTAGAATTCATCTCGCCATCGGTGAAGGCAAGTAAACGTAGCGGTGGTTTGCTACAGCTTTGACTTGTTATTTGATTCTACCTCCACGTTGAAATTATATATCATCAACCAAGATTATTATATGTTACACATAGGATTTACCTATCTGAATCAAACTTATTGATTTTACAATGTTTATGGTTATACTTTATGCTCTTGGTTATAATAACCTTATATTGATCTCCATCGAAGGAATGTGATTCCAATGTTATACTCTGGAGTTCATACTGCATTTGCATCACACATGCATTGCATTTGAAGTTATGTCGTGAACCTATGGTTGCGACCGTACCGGTACAGCATCGTACATTGTCATAATACGATGCAGCTTCACACCTTGTTGGGTGTGAGGGCAGGAGTACATATCATTGCATTGCATGTGCACATATTGCAGGATGTTATGAAAATTATTGATCGAAGATGTCTTTGAAAAGTGTTTTCTTCTCTGGGATTTGTGGGTATATGGATTTGATTGATGACGGCATGATGTTTTTATTCCTTGGATGTTGAACTTGTCTTTATGTGAATCATAACTTGGTATTTAATTAGCTATATAATAAACCTGTGGCTTAAATAGCTTGTTAAAGCTGTTTGCTTGATGAGATTTATTCTCACCCCCTTATAGTCTTTTCAGGTACTTGCTGTGACGTATTTGCATGAAGGGATGGGATTAGCTACATTGTCGCACGACATGATCTCACTTAGTCATGATTATTGTAATATGTTGATAAGATTACTTAGTCATTGATTAGCTCCTTTTTCAAGTCTATCCCTATATGTCAGTCAATTGTTGTATCATTACCTTAATCTATATGTTGATGCTTCCAAAATGTTTTCTTGTCTAAGGTAGTTGTTGCCGAAATTTGCTTGTTTTGGCACTTATGTGTGGTTGTTTAGTGGCATCCCAGGCTTATGTGGTTTTCTGGGGTGTTACAGCCGCCGCCGCCGTGCGCGCCATCCTCATCATCGTCCTCCTCATCCCCCGCCGCCGCCACCTCCGCGTCACCTACCGCCGCCGCCGTTGCGTGCCATCCTCGTTGTCGTCCTCCTCATCCCCCCTCGTCGGCGCCACCCGCTGCGTGCGCGCCATCCTCGTCATTGTCCTCCTCATCCCCCCTTGTTGGCGGCGCCCGCCGCCGCAGCGTCCTCCCCGGCGCTCCGCCAGCTCCTGCACGCTGCTGCGGCGTCCTCCCCCGCACGCCGCCGCCGACCCGTTTGAGAGAGAGAGGAAGAGTGAGAGAGAGAAGAGAGAGGAAGACAGGATGAGGAGATGACAGGTGGGTCCCCTATTTTTTTTTATAAATAGAGTGCTGACTGGACTGCCACGCATACGCCACGTGGACCAAAACCACCACGGATTGGGTCGAGGGGGTAATTTGTCCGGGTTGCATAGTTGGGGGTGAAGAATGCCCGGTTTTGTGGTTCGGGGGGTAATTCGGACAACCGCGATAGTTTCGGGGGGGTAATTCATACTTTTTCCTTTATGTTAATACACCCCTGCTACTGCTGTTATATGGCCCTGCTTGATGAATTATTGTGGGTTGTTTTAAGTTAATTTGCCCCTGTTGTTGCTGCCCCTGTGGCCTATATTTGCCCCTGCTGCTGCTGCTGCCCCCTGTACTTCTTGTTAAATGGCCAGTGATAAATTGCTCAATAACATTCCATCTATACTTGTCCTTTTCTTAATTTATGGACAAGAACAGATTATCTACACTTGCTCATTTTTTTATTCAAAGTATAAATAAATAGAAGTAATCATTTATAATTAAGCTATGGCCTAATTAATTGTATTCAAAGTGTAAATAAATAGAGGTAATCATTTATAAATATCATATGACCTATTTAAATGGTTGAAAAATCGTAATACATTAAAAATTAAGCAGTTGAGAATAATATATTACAAATTGATCCAAATTGTTCGACCTTCAATACAATACAAATAATTTACATCTTCCATCAAACAACCTATGTCACTGTCTTCCTCACGTACTTTCTCCTCACTATTGTTCCTTCGTTATGATCGTTACGTGAGTACGGCGTGTCCTCCTTTGATAGTACGATGCTCGGGTCAACCGTCACTGCGAACGGAGGTTGCCCCTCAAACAGATCGTAATTTTCGTTAGTCTTATCCTTGACTCCTATGATTTTCCTCTTGCCTAGGAGAACAATGTGGCGTCTTGGCTCATCGGGCCCTTTCCCCTTCTTTGGTTTGCTAGCCATGTCCTTCACGTAAAAAAACTTGCGTTACTTCATTGGCTAGAACGAATGGTTCATCTGAGTATCCAACCTTGTTTAGGTCAACCGTTGTCATCCCGCTATCATCAATCGTTACGCCTCCACCAGTCAGCCTAACCCATTGGCACCGAAACAGAGGGATCTTCAGGGGTCCATACTCTAGTTCCCGTATGTTGTCGATGACACCATAATACGTGTTAGTTGGACCATCGATATGAACACCACTGTTCTGGTTCGTGCTCTTTTTTGTGTTGGGCTCTTGTGTAAAATGTGTATCCATTGATTTCATAACCTTGGAATGTAGTTACAGAGCCAGAGGGTCCCCTAGCCAAGAAGGCTAGTTGTCGGTCAATCGTCTCGTTACCCATGAGGTGTTCTCGCAGCCAAGCGGAGAAAGTATCAATATGATGGCGTGTAATCCAGGCATCAGACTTGCCAATGTTTTCTGAGCGAACAATCGCCAGGTGCTCCTTGATGTAAGGAGCAACCAACGAAGATTGTTGCAAAACCGTGAAATGTGTTTTACGGAATAAATCGTTATCAACAGTTATAATTGCTCTCCATCCAAGTGTGCCCTTTCCCCGTAGTCTCCCCTCATGGATTGATTCGGGTACCCCGATTGGCTAGAGGTCTTCACTAAAATCTACGTAGAACTCAATGACCTCCTCTGTTCCATACCCCTTCGCGATACTTGCTTCCGGACGAGAACGGTTATGAACGTACTTTTTTAGAATGCCCATGTACCTCTCGAAAGGAAACATGTTGTGTAGGTACACAGGACCGAGAATACCGATCTCTTTCACAAGGTGGCATAGAAGATGCGTCATTATATTGAAGAATGACGGTGGAAAGATCAACTCAAAGCTGACAAGGCATTGCACCACGTCCTGTTGAAGGGCGGCTAAACTTTCAGGATCGATGACATTCTGTGAAATTGAGTTCATGAAAGCACAAAGCTTCGTTATTGTTGCCCGGACATTATCAGGAAGGATACTACGAATTGTAACAGGAAGCAGCTGTGTCATAAGCACGTGATAGTCATGAGACTTTAGGTTTGTGAACTTCTTATCCTTCGTGTTTATTATTCTCTTTACATTCGAGGAGTATCCGAACGGTACCTCGATGCTTTCTAGGCATTGAAACATACTCTCCTTCTCTTCCTTGCTCAGGGTGTAGCTCGTCGGGCTCAAGTAATGGCTTCCTTTCTCATTCGGTTCTGGATGAATGCCCTCGCGTTGTTCCATATGCTTCAGATCATTGCGTGCTTCAAGTGTATCTTTCGACTTACAATATATAACTAAGAAGCCCAGCAAGTTTATGCAAAGGTTCTTAGTGAGGTGCATCACGTCGATTGCGTGGCGGACGTCCAAGACCTCCCAATATGGTAGCTCCCAAAAAATAGAGTTCTTCTTCCACATCGCCGCGTGACCATCTTCGCTCTTTGTGGGTTGGCTGCTAGGCCCCTTTCCAAATACTACTTTCAGATCCTTCACCATTTCGAACACTGCTTTCCCGTTGCAATGTTTAGGCTTAGTACAATGGTCTGCCTTCTGTTCGAAGTGCTTGCTTTTTTTCCGTACAGGGTGGTTTGCAGCAAGGAATCGACGATGGCCCATGTAGACAACCTTCCTTCAATGCTTCAGATACGTACTTTCAGTTTCATCCATACAGAGAGTGCAAGCGTTGTACCCCTTGTTTGACTGTCCAGAGGTTACTAAGTGCAGGCCAATCGTTAATAGTAACGAACATCAACGCTTGTAGGTTAAATTGCTCCTGCTTATCCTCATCCCACACGGGGACACCATCTTTCCTCCATAGCACTTTTAGATCTTCTACCAATGGTCTTAGGTACACATCAATATCATTACCAGGTTGCTTCGGGCCATGAATAATAATCGGCATCATGATGTACTTCCGCTTCATGCATAGCTAAGGGGGCAGATTGTAGATGCACATGGTGACTAGCCAGGTGCTATGGCCACTACTCATCTCTCCAAATGGATTCATTCCATCCGTGCTTAAACCAAACCTCACGTTTCGTGCATCCTCACCGAAGTCTTTAAATGTTCTGTCGATATTTCGCCACTGCGACCCGTCAGCGGGGTGTCTCAGCATCCCGTCTTGTTTACGTCCTTCTGCGTGCCACCGCATCATTCTAGCATGTGATTTGTTCCTGAAAAACCGCTTCAGCCTTGGTATTATAGGGAAATACCACATCACCTTAGCATGAATTCTCTTCTTCAAAGGCTGTCTGTCAACTTCACCTGGATCATCTCGTCTTATCTTGTATCGTAGTGCTTTGCAAATAGGGCATGCTTCCAGGTTTTCGTACTCCTCACCGTGATATAGGATACAGTCGTTCGGACACGCGTGTATCTTCTATACTTCCAGACCTAGAGGGCAGACTGCCTTCTTAGCTTCGTACGTACTTTCGGGCAATTCGTTCCCCTCGGGAAGAATGTTCTTTATGAGTTTCAATAACTTGCCGAATGCCTTGTCACTCACACCGTTTTTAGCCTTCCATTGCAAGAATTCCAGGATGGTACCCAACTTTTTGTGGCCCTGATCGCAACCTGGGTACAACGCTGTTCTGTGGTCCGCTAACATGCGCTCCAGTTTCTACACCTCCGTTTCACTTTCGCAGTCCTCCTGTACGTCACGCAATATTTGACCAAGTTCATCAGCACCTTCATTACCTTCAACATCCAGCTCCTCCTCGCCCATTGTGTTTTCTTCAAATCCGCCATACTAAGCCCAGTCCGGAATGTTATCATCTTCTACTTCATCTTCTGCCATTGCAAACCCAACATCTTCGTGCGAGGTCCAACAGTTGTAGCTACACATGAACCCCCACTGAAACAGGTGGGCATGAATAGTTCGTGCGGTGGAATACTCCTTCTGGTTTTTGCACTTGTTGCATGGACAGCTTATAAAACCGTTATGCTTGTTATCATTGGCCACACCCAAAAAATAATGCACGCCGTCAATAAACTCTTTCGACTGCCGGTCTGCATACATCCATTGCCGATCCATCTACATGAAATGCATATAAATCGTAAATATAAAAAATCCAAGATTGACGAACTAATTAAATAATCATACAATAACTGAATATAATTATTCATACAATCATTTTTATTAAATCCATTATACATATTATTCATGTTTTAATTACATTGTAAACAAATATTCAATATGTTGTTATTATTTTAATTTTAAATTAACTTAGTTTCATAATTAACCATCCATACAAAAATATATGTAATTATTCAAACAAGTATTTATAAAATTCTAAATAAACATATTGCATATATTTTTTATTCCCTACACACACTTTTCTCTCTCATCAACTTCCATCACATTTTCTAGAGGGAAAAATGTGTAAAAAAATAGGTCTAAATGTAAATGCTAAGCAAAAAATAGAGGAGGATGAAGTTGCTAACCTTTTGGAGACCTCAAATTTGTATATTAACATCAAAAAAATTCTATTAAAATTTTGGCAGCACCTCCCTCCTCAAAGCTTAATTTTGAAGCAATGGCTTGGGTAGGAGGTGGAAGAAGGGGTATATAAAGTCGTGCAACTTTAGTCCCGGTTGGTAACACCTACCGGGACTAAAGAATTTAGTCCTAGTTAGTATCCCCAACCGGGACTAAAGAGACGATCTTTAGTACCGGGACTAAAGTTCCCCAGCCCCCCAACAGGGGACTGACATGCCCTGTCAGGGGCCGACCGGGACTAATATAAAGAACCGGGACTGTTGTGGAAATCGCCCGACCCTCTAAAGATGTAACATACCCAAATTCTAGACATTAAAAATTTCCTGTCAAAATAGTTGGAAGCTAACTTTTCCATTTTTGAGAGCCAAAAATTTCCATTTTTAACCTAGGTGTGGTCAATCTAACTTAAACCTAAGTAAAATTTGAGAACAAATTAAAACCTTTGCATCTCTAACCTAGGATAAAAATGTAAACCTATGTGTAAGCATGCATACCCTCATAGGACATGTTTAGACTTGAGTCCTTCATATGCATTTGGATTTTTTATTTGCATTTCATAATAGGTCTCATGAATATAATTACAATCTAGACAAACAACTAAACCATTAGAGCTTAGTGCTAACTAATGGAAAATAATACATAGGGACCATAATACACCTTAAAATATATCAACAAGGCTAATGTCAAGCCCCATAAAACTAATTTGGACATGCATCTAAAGACATGTCATGAACATGAAAGTGAACAAATAAATTAACTCATATAGGGTATATTCTATCTTAATCATCTCTATAAGTATCCTTTTAATTTAATACTAAAGTAAACTTATGCATAAATAGGTAAAAAGCTTATGACCTGTGTAAGGTAAACTGTAATTCTAACATATCAACATCACCTCATGTTAAGAATAGTCCAAATAAAACTTTTATAAACATGTACATGCATTTAGGAAAGGGAAACACGTATAAGAGATAAGCCTCGTGGATTATCTAAAATATTTTGTGCAAGATAAAATCATGGAAAAATTTATGTAGAATATTATTAGCACAAGATATTCACTGTAATTTTGGTCAAACATTAACACTCAAGTTGATACCTTAAATAAACAAGTAAAACTAGTCAAATAATAGACTAAATATAGTTCTTAATCAGCAAAAACCATACATAACTAAAATATACATTTAACTGCATGGAAGTGTACAGGGTAAATAATTTATTCAAATACTAGGTTAATTATCATGAATAAATATAATTTTTCCAGAATTTATATTCTCTGTTTAGGTCTCTTAAAAATCTAACTAGTTTCCAAAGAGCCCCTTTTCTCCTAATTTCTGTGAGTAACCTATCCATAATTTTTATGTGCAACTAAAGAAAATACCCCCATCTTCTACCCACCTCTCTCACTCCAGCCTTGTTCCCTTCGCCCTGGGCCCGCATGGCAGCCTCTTTGGCTTGCTCCACACCATGTCCATCTCCTCCAACCGACCAGAGACAGCCGAGACTGAGAGAGAGATCGGCGCCGGCTGTGAACGACGCGTGGCCACAACGTGTCAACGCCATCAAACTACCTAGTCTAGGCTTCTCCTCCTCCAAGCTGCATCGCCACGCCCCATTATCCATTCCTAAACCGAAGAAACCAACCGAAGAAACCGAGAAGGAGAGCTCCATCTCCCTTTTCCTTCTCAACCTCGCCGCCGACCGTGAAGACGACGACCGCCTCCAGCGCCATTACGCTGCGGTCGTTTCCTCTTATCTTGTGTTCCATTATCACCTCTCCACGCCGACTCCATCCCTCTAAGTTTCATCCCCTTTCATGCAGTGGTTTGGTGGGAACGCAAACCTCGCCGACGATACTCTGGAGCACGCACCGGGTGCCGCCGTGGCGGCATCGTCGCCGTTGCCATCGATCTAGACCAAGCCGGAGCGAGCCACCACGCCACCAGCTTCACCTCGAGCGCCTCTCCATTTACCCCCAAGAAACCCATCCAATGGCGCAGCGATCTTGGAGATCGACATCGTCTTCTCCAACTCCGTTCAACCGCTTCCATCATCGAATCCATTCTCTCTGGTGAGCATCAGTCAAATTCCATGCATGCATGGCCTCCCTAGATAGCCTTTGACCTCTTGCATGCACCTTATTGGTGACTCCCCTTACAGACCGAGCAGCCGACGTCATCCCTGGAGTTGTGCCATGCCGCCATGGAGCTTCGCCGTCACTGTGGCTCTGCAGACACCCCCAGCCTTGTCTAGCATCTCGGTGAGCACCCTGCAGCCTATAGAACATACATGCATGCACCCAATTAACCAATACATGATTGTAGAAGCACATGCACCACCACCCGAAAACATCCTCTACTCGGACTCGCCGCTGGCGCTACTCCGATGTCCCCTAACCAAGAAATCTAGAGGATTGGAATCGCAAGAACATGCTCGTTCATTTTATCTTTTAACCCCAACTCCAACCGAGCCACCAATCGCCCCCGGTGAGCCCGGGATCGAGCTCAGCCATGGCTGCTCTGTCCCTATGCGTGTGAAAAAGAAGTCAGGGACCTAGTTTTGAGAATTTAAACAACTATAAGGTTCAATGTGTAATGTTTCCACTCAATGACATATGGACCTAGGACTGCGGCTTGATTTCCTGAAACCCTAGAGGCCTTTCTGCATATTGGCCTGAGACTAATCTGTGGACCCAATCTATTTAAATTCTGGAAAAATCTAAATGAAATGCCTAAAGCTTTATATTTTCATCAGAAAAACATGTAAATTTGTAAATTCCATAACAAATTGAAAACAACTCATTTTAGAGTAATTCAAATTACTGTTAACTCGTCAAATCATGAACTTTAGTGTTATTGCATAAAAACTTGCACTCACAGTACAATTTCTGTCTCTAAAATTCATCTAAGAAAAATCACATATAAAACATGCACAGGATTATAAATGCATACAAAATTCATTTCAACTCATTTTAGAGCAAACATAGTTTCTACATATCCACCAAAATGTTCTCTAAAAACAAAGTAAAATAAAACATATACACACTTTACATCAAATGCCTCTAAAACTAATATCTTTAAAATAACTAGTTCTGCATAAGCTGAACTTTAGAAGTTAATATAAAATTCATCTTAGATCCTTTTTGAGTAAACTCAAGTTCTGTAGAATCATAAAGTTGTGCACTTCAATGTTATAAAATAAAAAGACATACTTACAGTATAATAAAAACCCCTAAGCATTTATGTAAGGAATAAGCAACATGGCGCATACCTTAAATTGTAAAATTTGTAGAAAATTCATCTATAGTCTAAATGAAGTGAACCAAATTTCTATACAACCAGCAAGTAATATACTTCAACCTAGTAGAGTGAATTATAGCACCCTCTATGCAGACTATATGATGTGACCATGGCTACCACGGATGCAACCATTGCTCACATCATGGATGAACAAGAAGATATCGAGATCAAGTACTCCAAGTGCTGGAATCCGATTCGGCCACCTACTACACTGCTGACTTCAAACAGCCACCAAATCTGCATACGACCTCCGTTTTCGGCCCGTGAGTACTTGATGGAAAGCTCTCGGAGCCCTCTTTCTAACGGATCCAGCCTCTTCTCTGAATTCTATCTCGTGTGGCCAGAATCACAGGAACAAGGTGTTGCATCACCTATAATGGGCCTATGGGCTTGTAACTTCATTTGGGACCCCGGCCCAGGTGGGGCCCATGTGGGGTGCGCCCCAAGCTGGTGGAGCACGACCCTAGGCACCCCTAGGTCGTCCTCCCACCCCTATATATAGCTAGTTACCCCTTCAGGGTTTCTCGGGTTTTTGTTAGATTAAAGTTTAGCCATTGCTACTTGCTTGCAGCGCGCGTGTCGGCTAGACCGTCCGTCTGCTTGTTCTTCGGAACCCCAACTTATCATTTGTATTAAATTCCTATTTGCAATATCAGATTGCTTTATTCTTGTTCTTGCTTGTTTCTTCGATTTGCTTGCAGGAATAGGGTTGATCTGCACCGGCAAGATCAACAACCTACGGAGAGGTGTATCGATCGCTAAGGCGCAACACAACGTCTCGTACGGTTGTAGTCGGATCGTCAACGTTTCTCCCAAATCGTAGTTATCACAACTCACCGAAAGATCGGGCCAACAACAGCCTTGAGTGTTGAGAGGAACTCAGGGTTCATCAGGTGGTATCAGAGCTTTCGTTGCTCGGTGAGTTTTTATCTTCCTATAACCAGAAAATAGCCATACAAAAAAATTCGTATCATTTACCTAGCCATATTGTGCCATTGCATTGTTCTTTTCAGTTTTTGCTTTGTTGAATTTTGTGTTGCATCGTCACGTCGTGTTGCTGGTCTTAGCGTCTAGTTCGTTTAGAGTTTCGAGTTCTGGTCACGTTTTGTACCACAGTCGTCGCTGCCACCGTGTCTCTGTTGTTGTCGGGACCTACGAAAATGGAATCGGCTCGCTGCCACGGTTCTATTTTTGTAGTTTTCAGAAGTTTCTATCGGTTAGTTTTGGAGTTCTTGAGTTGTATCTAGAGTTTGCCGATCCTTGTGTGTGTTTGTTTTGGCCGTGCCTGTGTCGTGCACGAGAGGAGGAAGGTGAATTACCATATCTGATTTTGGAAGTAGTCAAGTTTGTTTTGGAAAGATATAGTAGATTGGATTGGTTAAAAATCAGTTTCCTTTTTATCCCATACACCAAATTCGGCTGCCATCCACTCCACCTCCTGGCCGAGTCCCACTCGCCCCTTTGGCCGAGTCCGACTCCCTCCCTCTCTTCCACCGTTCCGAGTTGTGTCAAACACCTTGGCGAATTTTTGTTTGGTGTCGGTTTCGAGATCTGTTTGGAAAAACGGAACCGGCATAAATTCAGCATTCTATTTTTTGTATAATTTTAATTTTGGGTTTAGACTTTTACATTTGAGTCCCTATAAATTTTATATTTATGTTTGAGTCCCTGTAATCTTACATTAAGGTCCTTGAGTCAGTTTTTGTTAAAAAAAATAAGAAAAAAAAGTGAGAAAAAAAAAGGCAGAAAGGTGCAAAAAAAAAAAAAGAAAAAAAAAGCCGCACCAAAAAAAATCAGAAAAGAAAAGGAAAAAAAAAAGAAAAGAAGAAAGAAGAAAGAAAGAAAAGAGAAAATATTGTTTTGTTTGAGCTGAACTTCATACATCAGAGTGTGCTTGAGTTGTTTCTGGTGCTATTTTGTGGTACCGTTTGTGTCTAGGCTCGCGTCTCTAGTACGTTCTAGCCTAGGACCAGCACGGTACTTGACTTTGAACAATTATTCAACTTTGCGTTCTCTGATTTGAGCATTTGCTATTCCTTTGCTACATATTTAAGCCTACCCAGAGCTCCACAGATTTGATTGCAGCCGTACAGCAAGTGTTTGCCGAGGCATCGATATATCCAACCTCTATTGGGGTGCTTGGTTGAGTCGGTGTACATCACCATTCCACTTGCATTGGTAAGATCTTGTAAGAGCTTGGTTAAAAGCTTGAGTGTGTGTGAGATTTGAGCTGCCAGTACCTAGTAGTTGATAGGAGCGTGTATATTCTTGTGTATGTTTCTTGTTTGCTGCTAACCATGGCAGGATTGCGCAAGGGGAAACAAGATGGTCATGCTCAACGTCAACATCTACACCTTCGACGAGATATGACGACTTCTTCACGTGATGCATATGAGGTACATGACTATAATTTTGCACAAGTTGCATGTAAGTTACCAGTCTATGATGGAAAGTATGATTCCGCTGCATACATTAATTGGGAGCTAGCAGTAGAAAAACAATTTGATGAGTATGATTTTTCTAATGCTCAAATGATTAAGGCTGCTAGTAATAAGTGTACCGGTTCTGCATCTTTTTGGTGGCATACTGTGGGGAATAAGCTTGAAACTTGGGATGAATGCAAAATACTGATGAGAAAAAGATTTGTGTTTTCATACTATAGACGTGCTCTCCTTGAGAAATGGGAACATCTAAAACAAGGTGACAAAACTGTTAGGGAGTACTTTCATGATTTTAAAATTTGTATCACTTATAGTGGTTTACAAGAATCTAATGAGAACACAATGACTAGATTTTTCAGAGGGCTTAATTTCAATATTCAGGCTGGGCTTGTTAATGTGACATATAATCATATAGGCCAATTGTTCATGCTTGCTTGCATTGTTGAGCGCAAAATTTTGGAGAATCCAATGGAGCAACAAGATATGCTTGTGCCTCCTATCACTGATGTTTTGCAGGAAGTTCAGAAAAGTCTCCAAAATGAGAAGAACGATATGTTTGAGATGTCACTTCCATCACTCGCGAATGAGGAGAAGGCTGATGCAGCTACATTATCTGAAGAAAGTTCGCAAGGTAGATTAAATGGTGCTGAGAGAAATGAAGGTGAGTATTCTCAAGGTGAGCTACACTTGTCCACTTTTCATGCTATATTAGAGCAACCATTAGTGGAATCAATTACTGAGTTGCCTTTGTCACAAGTTGATTTACTTGCTGTTCCTTGTGATAAAGAAGAGTTGTGTGATAATGTTTCACTTATATCCATGCCACAACTAGTGAATGAACATGTTAGTTCTACTATTTCTTTGTGTGCTGATTCTAAGCATGTTGTTCACATTGCTAATGAAGTAGAGGAACGTGAATTGCTATCTTCTTTAAATACTTTGGGCTATGTTCAGTTTGATGATTTTTGTGAGCTCGATAATTTGAAGGAGAAATTATTTGCTAAATCTGATTTGCCATGTCCAACTAATGCTATTTTTCATATCTTTGGCGAATATAATGATAGAGGAATATTTTTGGTGCATAGAGTTTACATTTGTTCAGATTTAGAACATCTTGTAGTTCCGGATAAAATATGCAAGCTAGAGAAAAATGTTATTGCTAACCAAATTGTCTCGAGTTTGCCTTGTTTTGATTGGAAGAAACAGGTTGTTGTAAATGGACTACGCAAAGAGCACCATATGGAAAAACCGAGGACGGTTTTCCGTGAAGAAGGGGAGGATGATGTGACCATGGCTACCACGGATGCAACCATTGCTCACATCATGGATGAACAAGAAGATATCGAGATCAAGTACTCCAAGTGCTGGAATCCGATTCGGCCACCTACTACACTGCTGACTTCAAACGGCCACCGAATCTGCATACGACCTCCGTTTTCGGCCCGTGAGTACTTGATGGAAAGCTCTCGGAGCCCTCTTTCTAACGGATCCAGCCTCTTCTCTGAATTCTATCTCGTGTGGCCAGAATCACAGGAACAAGGTGTTGCATCACCTATAATGGGCCTATGGGCTTGTAACTTCATTTGGGACCCCGGCCCAGGTGGGGCCCATGTGGGGTGCGCCCCAAGCTGGTGGAGCACGACCCTAGGCACCCCTAGGTCGTCCTCCCACCCCTATATATAGCTAGTTACCCCTTCAGGGTTTCTCGGGTTTTTGTTAGATTAAAGTTTAGCCATTGCTACTTGCTTGCAGCGCGCGTGTCGGCTAGACCGTCCGTCTGCTTGTTCTTCGGAACCCCAACTTATCATTTGTATTAAATTCCTATTTGCAATATCAGATTGCTTTATTCTTGTTCTTGCTTGTTTCTTCGATTTGCTTGCAGGAATAGGGTTGATCTGCACCGGCAAGATCAACAACCTACGGAGAGGTGTATCGATCGCTAAGGCGCAACACAACGTCTCGTACGGTTGTAGTCGGATCGTCAACGTTTCTCCCAAATCGTAGTTATCACAACTCACCGAAAGATCGGGCCAACAACAGCCTTGAGTGTTGAGAGGAACTCAGGGTTCATCACTATAGCTCTAAACCTTAATTTGGTAGAATAGGTACTAAACACATAGTAGTGGTTAAACAATGCATATGAATAAGTGTATATATATATATATATATATATATATATATATATATGCATGGTAGCTCCAAATAAATCCAAATAAACCTTGTTAGGACCAGTGGAGCCATAGTTCCATCCCCATCCACCAAAACTTAGAAGAACTTAGCTCATATAATAATTTCTAGGTTGATATAATATATTGCTAGCATAGGCTAGAGCTTCCCTAGTTTATAAAGATATGAACCGTGCTAATAAAGACCATAAGCTTATAAACTAAGATTAGATTAGTTAACTAAAATACTCATTTTATATATCACTACCTAGATGAGGTAAGTTCTGGACTTAAACCTCTAAAGCCATGAACCTATATAACACTATACACCTATAACACCTTATAACTTGTAAAATATATAAAGAATTCATATTAACTCCAAAAATTGTGAAACCAAATGTGTTAGTCTTAGAAAACACATATCTTCACCCCAGCAAACATAAACTTAATAAGAATCAACTTACAACAGCATTTCACAATAGTACCTAAGTAAATTCTATACTATACCGAACAAACTTCTAAAATTCATAACTCCCAAATAAAAAGAGATAAAATAGAAATTCTTTCATCTAAATTCATCTTAGACCAGTACCTATCCACTTTGCACAAATCATTCATTTTAGAGTATTTTGGATTTTTCGCATATTTCGGTTTTTAATTGCATAACATGCACTTTGTATAGATGCTTAATACAAATGATTGCTTAAGCGGTGAAGAAGTGATTTAGGTGCTGACTTTTTCCAGTTACAAGGCAAGTCCCACCTCCCTCTCTTTGATCACTTTAAACCTATGTTTTGGAGGTTATTGAAAATATGTGCAAATCTTGCATGTCGATTGTACACTAATAAATTAAAATTTTGTTAAACTTGTTAGACAAACTCCTATTATTTGCATTATCATCTTAACCCCACAAATATATATCCATATCCATCACTCCTAGCCATAGGAGCAATATGACTATACTGCTTTATATATATGAGTTTTGGAGTCAATAGGTTACTATAATGCTTAGCCTTACTTAGAATGGTCTTCCTTGTTATTATGGGCTCATTACAAACATGAAAATTGATTTTGAAATAATCTGGACAGAACTTTAATACTTGTGATTTTGACAAATAAAATGGTGGAAAACATAGATTTTAGGTTTGGGCCTCAAGTGGTGCACATATGGTGATTGGTTGTGTACCGATAGGAGGAGAGTGCGCCCAAATCGACCTAAGGACTTCACTCAATGTTAGTTCATTTCATATACAGTGCAACCACATGTGCTAGTATGGGATAGCCCAAGCTTAGTAAATTATTTATGGTTTAGCCTTACATTCTGGTAGGCCGATGTGTATGAGTTCGTATAATTCAGAGGAGCTTCCTATTTACCCCGAAGTGGTAGTTTAGGTGACTAAGCGTGTCCAATACAACATTATTGTGCCACGTAGTGGGTTCCCGTTGTGTCCGCCACCACGGCCTTAAGTTTAAGGCGTGGGCCCGCCACTTAACGGTTCTAGGTCATATTTCCAGTATGACTAGGATGGAGGAACACGTATCGTTCTGGTGTAAGGCTAAATCATAAATTTTGGAAAAGCTTTGTTGCGGGTAATAAATCGGGTACTTATGTATCGCGTGCCATCCTTTTACATGATTATTATTTCACATCATGTGGCTAAAGTGTACAAACTCTGCAGAGTTAAAACTAATCGATTAGCCGAGCTCGCGGTCATGAGCGGCGTGTGATATCTATTGAGTATAGACTTGTGTTTATTCGTCTAAATGCTGAAATTTACCTCCAAATTATGTTGAGATTTGAGAATGATGTCCTTGCTGCCATGGATAGCAATGAGGTGTATATTTATACATGATTAACGACTACTTTGATGCCCAATATGTCAAGTACTAGCTTGCTGAAATTTATTTCAAAGCAAATCTGATTTGGAAATGTTTTATGCAAATAAAACTTGCTTTATGCTAAAAAGAACCATATCATATCATGCCTTCCTTGATTATATGCCTTGCAAGTAGAGTGTTAGGCTTGTCTTGGTGCTTATGTACTAACTCTTGCTGTTGAATTAACCTTTTGTTTGCAGGTTTAGACTTAGTCTTTGAGTGATGCGGGTAATCGACTGCTTCTTCTAGGACTTGAACTTAATGGGGTAAACTGCTTCTTCTAGGACTTGAACTTAATGGGGGTAAATCCCTAGTCGGTGTGCTTGTGGATTGGGTAGACGAGCTTCCGCTGTTCTATTATTTATTTGGCCGGTCGGCCAATGTAACTAAAATAGATGTAGTTTATAATCGCTTTCATCGTATTTGTGTTTGTTATGTATAACCATGCTTGAGGTGAAAGTGTGAATCTAGTGCATATCCTGGGAACTAGATTCACATGAGTATGAGTTAAGAATATTTGAGATATTGTAGATCTTTAACCATTTTTGTCAAGTCTTCTAAATGTGTAACACATCTGGTCGCCGCCTTCGAGTGGTTTGGCGGGCACATCTCAGGCTGAAGTTGACTGGTAGGCTAAAGGCCCAGCAATGTCTCCAATATTGCTCTCTCAAGGCGTCGGATATTTCATTATACTTGTTTGATGTCTTGAATTATTCATTTCATCTCTCAATTATAATGGAAGGTCCGGAGAGCCTACGACAAAAGATCACTTCTAAAGTAGTGGTAGTGTGTGAGCATACACTTCTATATCTTATTATTTTTAGTTCTATAATTAGTTATGCTGTACTATTCTTTGTTTTCAGAAAATGAATGGTTTGCCAGATTTCTATTAAAACTATTATATTTTCTGCTCACAAATTGAACATCGAGTACCGTCTCACGAGCTGCTCATCATGTTTTTTATACCTTAATGTACACACGACTATATACGACTATATAGTTTATGCTATTTTTCTTCTTTCATTAAGCCATACCATTTCAATTATTTATAGCTCTATGGTCCACATTGTCCTTCGTGTCCCATCGTCTTATTTTTTTCCTTTACACGATCAATCAATATTTGATCTAAAATATCATAAAGCAAATAATCTCAATTGCTTATAGTTTTCTCGATGATTATCAAATATGCAATTATATGAAGTATACAAAATCGTGTCATTTAGCTAAAAGAACATATCTTCATCTTATATTTCTTTTCTATGTTTATCATACGAAATTTCCGCAGCAACGCACCGGGTTTCATCTAGTTTATTATTATAATCGTGATGTGGTTGTGATATTATCTTTTGTTAATGTGGGTGCTAGCGTTGATCTAAGACTAGCACATTATATACAGAGGATCCTAGTTGGGGTCCCGACATCTAGGGGAGTTAGTGACATTATTTACTAGCATAAGGATAGTGCTTAAGGTAGATAAATGCCATTAGATACGGGTGTGCTCTTCGAAAAGTGACATTATTTACTAGCATAAACACAATCAAGGTCAATAACCTTTTCGTAGGAAGCAATCTTGATTTATTTAAATTACTAGGCTGATTATCGAATGATTGACCGGTCAAACCCTTCTTAGCCATAATCATTTCATAATTAAAGTTTCGTTGTTTAAGTCTTATTATAGCTAGATCGTTCATCCTTATGGAGACTCGAATTCTCAGCCTTGGATTTGTTGGAACTAGATGGTTTATCTTTTTTTTTTTAACCTGGTCATGTCATTCTTAATCATCTCGTGCCAAGGATCTGTTACAATGATTTTTTTTTCTTTTGTGCATTCGGCTTGACATGGCAGAATCAAACATTATCTTGTTGTAAAAGTCTATTCTTCAAAAAGGCAGTACATGATCGATTTCCATCATAAAATTAGTTAAGCTATTTGTAGCACCACACAATTTCCTGGCAGTAGTTAATTGGCACAACCCAAAAACGTGGAGAAGCACAGGGAATCAGTGGACATAATGTGCTGCAGAATTAGAGGCCACCCACCATTTTCGAGGACGATGGCAATGCTATAAGAGTCCCTCCCACCTTGCGCATCTCACCACCCTTACCTTGGCCTCCTGTGCCGCTGCACATATATATAGCTCCCACCACCACGAGTAATCTAACAGAATAAATCATGGGACCAGCCCACGGCCACCTCGTCCTCCTCGTCGCCGCGGTGGCGTTGCTGTCAGCTGGCTTCCTCCCGCACGCTGTGGCGAAGAAGGGCGGCGCCGTGCCACCGGCGGTTGCTGACATATGCTCTCGCACTCCATTCCCAGACACGTGCAAGAGCACCGCCGGGCGGCACGCGTCCAAGTACCCGGTGATCGACGTCGTGGCTGTGCTCAACATGCAGGTGGACGCGTTCTCCAAGCGCACGGCGCATGCGAGGGAGCGCGTGACCAAGGTGTCCCGCGGCGCACAGCCTCAGCAGACGCAGGCGCTGAGCTTCTGCGACACCATGTACATGAACACCCAGGACACCATCGGCGCCGCGGAGCGGGCGATCACCTTCAGAGACAAGGCTACGGCGAAGATCATGCTGCAGCTCGCTGTGCAGGACTTTGAGTCGTGCGATCGGCCCTTCAAGCAGTCCGGGATCAACAACCCCTTGGAGAAGATCGACGTAGAGCTCAACCAGATGGCACAAAACTGCATGACACTGGCCAGCATGATATGAGACTCATGAAGGACTGAATCGATGAGAATATGAGATGTCACGTCATTCGATCAGGATGTCCACGGATTTGGGGAGGACCTGGGTTTGGTTTTTCCTTCTTTTACAGAAATTCATTTACTAATTTTGTGTTTTATTTTCTTGACAGTGTCTAAATTTGTTAATTATCACGACCCGACCTGCGTTTGTTGTGTAGGTCTTTTAACGTGGAAGAAGAGGGCCTTTTACGTTTATCATTTTGTACTGAGTTCACTAATTTGTTCCATTTGATTGATTGATGTTTTGTGTTAATCTTTGTTGTTGTTAGTGTCGAATAGTTAATTACTAGGGGTTCCTTCCCCCGTTGCTGCAGGGCAGTGTGGGTATATATATAAAGTTGTAACAACCATACGCGTTTTCAAAGCTCGTATGCAATTCCATATTTTGCCTTTTGCTCTAATTCGTCATCTTTAAAATATTATACTAGTTTGTATTTACTATTTTCGGTCTGTGAAATGTGCGTTGAGCTAGGCTGATCGGATCAGACAGTACCACTACTGAAAAACGATTTTTAGCAACGTTTGCCTTTTATTTTTCCAAACGGATATACACCTCCAAACCATAGCGCCGCCTAAAAAAAGTATCACGGGGCCAAGCGGACCACATAAGCGGACCACGCGCACATAAGGCGCCGCATGCGATTATTCCAGGCGGACTATCTTCGCAGGCTCCCAATTTCTTCCACCTGCAAAAATCCGGCTATATAGCCTTCTTCCTCCCCCAGCCCCTGTTCACATCCGAGGTTTTTCTGTCTCCAAAAGCAACCAAAATATAAGCGGGAGGTTTTGAACTTCAAATCTTCGAGGGTTTTCCTACAGTGGTTAGACCTATGCCTTTCCACTCTTACTACACATTTTTTTAATAATTTTAAAACCCCTTTTGTGATGGATCTATGCATGCAAAATAATGTAGGAAAAGCTAGCTCCATGTTTGTTTCTTTTTTTTTTTACTTTGCTTTGATATGTTTGAGTTGGATCTATGCATGCAAAATAGTGTGCTCCTTGATGCCATGTGGTTCTCTCATCCTCTAGTGATTTAATAATATAATATAATTACCCAAAATTGTGTATTTTGCTCTCATCTATTTGGCTAGATCTAGATAGGACAGAGAAAAAATTTCCTTGATGCCATGTAAAAATAATAATTTTATTTGTGTTTAATTTCCTATGTTTGTTGAATTTATGTATACTCTTTGATGCCATGTGATCCTCCCATCCTCTAGTTGGTTAAATATGATAATTTAATTACAAAGTTTTATATTTTCCTCTAGGAGAGATTAAAGGTCCATTATTTATCGTTAAATCTTTGATGTCATGTGGTCCTATCATCATCTAGCAGTTTAATATGATAATTTGATTACCTAATTTAATGTAAAAAAACTATGTTCACAAAAAATTCATAGATTAGCATCCCTTGTTACAAATATATGTTTTTAAGTTTTTTTTAATTGTAACATACCCGAATTCTAGGATTAAAGAATTTCAATCAAAACTAGTTGAAAGGAAAGTTCTTCATTTTTGTGAACCAAAAATTTCCATTTTTAAAACCTAGGTGAAGTTGATTTAACTCTTGCATGAATAAAATTTGAGGGCAAATTAAAACTTTTTCATTTATAACCTAGGACAAAAATGTAAACTTATGTGTAAGCATGCATACTCTCATAGGACATGTTTTGACTTGAGTCCTTCATATGCATCATTTGGATTTTCGATTTGCATTTCATAATAGGTCTCATGAATAATAACTAAGATCTAGATAAACAACGAAACCATTAGGGCCTAGTGCTAGCTAGAGGAAGTTAAAATATGAACCATACACCTTAAAATATATCAACATGGCTAATGTCATGCCTCACTAAACTAATTTGGCTACTCATCTGAAAGCATGTCATGAATATGGAAGTGAGTAAACAAATTAACTTATATAGAAAATATTCCACCTTAATTACCTTTATAAGCATCCTCTTAATTTAATACTAAAGTAAACTTATACATAAATAGGTAAGAAGCTTATGACATGTGTAAGGTAAAATACAATTCTAACATATCAACATCACCTCAGGTTAATGAGAGTCCAAATAACTTTTATAAACATTTACATGCATTTAGGATTTAGGAAAGGGAAACACATATAAGACATAAGTCTTGCAAATTATCTAAAATAATTCATGCAAGATAAAATCGTGGAAAAATTCATGTAGGCTCTACTTAATGTTGGTATTTCTTAACGACATTACTAGAAATATAATTCCCAACAATGACGTAGAAATACTTCTGGTATATTATGGTTACAGAGTTCATCCGCAAGCGTATGGATATACCATTGTAGCATTTCACCCGAGAGTATTCCAAGGGTATCGTATTTATTTCATCCCGTGGGAAGATCATGTAGAGAGAACTCAACTAATAACTTATATATATTACTTGTGATAATCATATTCTAAGCTAGGGTTAAGATAATCCAAGGGTAGAGTGACACACAAGCATTACTACTCATCCTCATAATAATTAATCTAACCTAGGTGAAAAGAAAAAAAAGAAAGGGAATCTATTCCTATACCTCTAACATACATAGTATACATACATTCTAGTTAACTGGTATACTAGCTAATACCCTCTATCCGATGCCCTCCTGGTACTTCGAGAAGCCACCCTGACTGCCGAGTTCCTTACGACAGCCCGTCATGACCATCCAACCGGGGCTAAATACGGAGGAATACCCTCCCCAGGAAATTAACTTAGGATTATATATAGGCGAGGAGGAATACCCGTACTGAGGTGTCACCATCAGCGGCCCACCTCTCATCCGCAATATATAACCCCAAATAATGATATCCCGTAATCTAGACACCACGTCTAAACGACCAGATACTACTCTAATATCATCGTCATGACATAGAGTAATTGCATAAGCAAACACTATACCCGCACCAAAGCATCTCCCAGATAAGCTAGCCGTATATTCAGTATAACCAGAACATAATGTAAAGTAGGTACTCATATACTCGGAAAGTATTTCAATACCAGAAATGTATTTAGAAGAGTATTCTAATAAAAGTACAAAGCTTACGAAAGAGGAAAGGAAAGCTACTAGAGCCATACCCGAACTCTTCCGAAGGCTTCTGGACTCCTAATTCTTATTCTAATTCTATTCCACTAGCTAGATACTACTAAACTAAACTTGAGAGGAATGAGAGAGCTCTTGCTTGAGGTGTGTGTTGAAGTGAAGAGAGTGAACTCCTTAAATAGGCAGGTAATGACGGTTATGGTGGTTGGAAAAGTCGGTAATACTCTCCAACCGCCAAAGGGAGTGAATCTCCACCGTTCCCTCAAAACCCTGCATCCATCGGCTTCACGGGAGGTTCGGCCTAACCACCAGGTTCGGCCGAACCTGGGGCCTGCCCAACTAGCCCACATTTTGGCTGATGGCCTCCTCTGCTGCTTCACTTCGTAGACTTGTGAATTTTGGCCTGATTCGTCGTGTCAATTCTGAGTTCTTGGCCATTCATACATAAGTCTGGTCTTCGACATCGTCCGATTGATTTATCATTTAAGTTGATGACGATTCTCCTTCATTTTATTGTCATTCTCTGCAAAAGGTTAGTAGACCCAATACTAGTGGAATATTATTATTCTAACATATTTATGCATTGTAAGCATCACTAGTTCTCTCCTGTTTTAGTAATATTGACGGTCGAAACTGATCGATAACGACCGTCAACACTTAACATATACAACTCACTGTAATTTTGGTATAATTTAATAACTAAATTTGATACCTCGAATAAATCAGTCAAACCAATCAAATAATAGACTAATTATAATTCCTAATCGGCTAAAACCATACTTTGTCTAAAAGTGCATTTAACTACATGGAAGTGTATAGGAGAAATAATTTATTCAAATACTAGGTTAATTATCATAAATAAATATAATTTTCCAGAATTTATCTTCTATTTTTGGGTCTCCTTAAAATCCAAACTATTTTCCAAAAAGCCCCCTCTTCTTCTAATTTCTAGGAGTAATCTATCCATAATTTTTAAGTGCAACCAAAGAAAATGAAATCTAGGTATAATCATCTACCTCCAGTAAAATTAACACTAGTTAATCTGGTCCACACATTAAGTTATGAAGCTACAAAGTTAGAGGAGGAAAATAATTCCGGAAATTCGTCCAAAAACCAAACTCACCCATGTTTCTACCCACACCTCTCTCTTCCACCTAGTTTACCACGACCTGGGCGCGCTTGGCAGCCACTTGGGCTTGCCCTCTCCCTGTCCAACTCCTTTAACCGACCAGCAGGCATGAGAGAGGGAGGAGAGGCGTTCTGGGCGTGGCCGACGCGTGTACACGACGTGTCGCCGTCCTCAAAACGCCGAGCTCACTTTCAACTCTTCCCAGTTGCATCACCTCATCTCCATTACCACTTCTGTGTAGACCAAATCGAGAGAGAGGGATCGCCTCGCCTCCGCCGCCGTCATCCTTGCCGTCGGCCCTGAAGACGATGGCCATCGCCACCGCCATTGTGCCACGGTCATCGCCTTTCCACTTGCGTTCCATTATCACCTCTCCAAGCCTATTTGATTCCTCTAAGTTTCATCCCATTGGTGCAGCGGATCGTCGGGAATGTGGACCTCGCCATCGTTGCTCTGGAGCACGCACCGAGTGCCGCCGTCGGGTTCTTGTCGTCGTTCCGACCACTGTAGACCAAGCCAAGCCGAGCCGTCATGCCAAAATCTTCTCCTTGAAGTACTCCTCAAAACCCCTCAAGAAATCCCAGGCAATGGCACAGCAAGTGCGGAGATCGGCCACCGTCTTCTTCACCTCCGGTCGCCGACGACGCCATTGTGGATTCCGCCTCCTCCGGTGAGCCATTATTCGATTACTCGCGCGCACACCATCTCTCTGGCCTCAATAACGTCATGGACTCACATGCATGATAGTTCTTGGAGCCGATTGAGCCGTCGCCATTCACCCCGGATGTTCTTGCCGCCGCCGAGTCGTTCTGCTTGTGGTCATCGCTATCTGGACCTCGCCAAGTTTCTTTGGACGCTCGGTAAGCATCCTAGGATCCCATAGAGGCACATGCATGTAGCTAAATGTCGCGACCGAGAAAATTTGCATTTTCCCGAACGCTAGTGTATTAATCCCTGTCCCAGGAAAAGCCGGGGTACACCACACAAACATGATACAAAAGGCACATCTTTATTATATCGATAATATTTACATTATTACAAAGGCACTTAAGGCCTGATAATCAAAAATAAACAGCAACGGACTAGCGGGCCTACGGCTCCATCTTCACAGGCGCTCAACTGGGGTATAAGCCAGGACTCCACCTAAGACTTCTTTTCCAAAGCTTCTCTTACTGGAGCGGGGGGGGGAGATTGAGCAAGAATGA